TATTCAAGAAACCACGCGGATGACACCGTTCGAGCTCGTCTACGGAAGACGGCCGACTACGATGCTCGACGCCATGCTTCCGCACGTTGAAGACGACGACCTCAACGCCGACGTCCAACGATAGCTCCAACGTGCGGAGGAGGCCCGCCAGCTCGCTCGAGCTCGTATAACGGACCAGCAACTGGTGGATGCCGGACGCCACAATCTCCGACGCCGAGACGCCGAGTACCATCCTGGAGATCGTGTGTGGGTTTGGACTTCCATTCGACGACGTGGACTCAGTGAGAAACTTATACGACGCTATTTCGGACCCCACCAGATTCTACGACGTGTTGGCGAACTAACGTACGAAGTGATCCCCGATGGGGACTCCCGTACATCACGACGACGCACGCTGCCCGAAGTCGTCCATGTGGTTTGCTTAAAACCTTTCTACGAACGATGACGAACTTTTAATTTGTGTGGACTGTCCCTTATGTTAGCATCGGGTCGATGCACTCTTAGAGGGGGGGTAATGCCGCGAACCATGCAATGGGTTTGTTTATTTGTGTTTTGCTTTTTCGGCCTGGCTGCGCCGGCCTGTGCTATCGCCGTTTTCACAGCGTTTCGAACAAACGCTACCGAACAACGCTTCAGGCGTTGTTCGATAGAAACAACGCTTCAAGCGTTGTTTGTTAGATACGCTGCTCGAACGAACAGCGTTTCTAACAAACGCTATCACGGCGTTCCCGATACAATTCGACTATTCGAGAAACCCTCGCGCCGAGGGATATAAATTCCCGCACAGCCGATGCCGCGTCATTCGATCGCCGACGCTCACTAGCGTGCCCGTCGTTTTGCTGGCCGCTGCTTCGCCACCTGTGTATTTTTTCAGTTGTTAGGGGAGCACAGATTCAATCCAATAAACTTGTTTTCCTCATAGACAACTGCGTCGTCCTTTGCTGCGTGACAATATATGCTGACGATATTTGTCTATGGACTTCGGCTGTAACTCGTCTACAAGTACGTGCAAGAGTCCAGCAGGCTGCCACCCTGACATGCTCATATCTCCGCAAGCAAGGTCTTTCCGTCTCAACGGAGAAATGTGCATTGGTTGCGTTTACTCGCAGAGCCATGACACAATACTCCGTTACCATCAATGGACAAAATATTCCATACCAGAAGAACCATCCCTTCCTGGGTGTGATTATTGACAGGGACCTTTCGTGGACTGCCCACTGCAATTACCTGAAGAGAAGGCTAATCTCCATCGTCCATATAATGCGGTTCCTCTGCGGAAAATCTTGGGGTGCATCGATAAGGTCAATGATGCAGCTATACAGGGCACTGTTTCTGGGATTTTTGCGCTACAGCTTGCCGTTACTGGCAAGTACGTGCAAGACGAACATCCGCACTCTCGAAAGTCTGCAAGGACAAGCACTACGCGTGTGCTTAGGATTGCCGCGATGCACCTCAACCTACGGGGCAATTATGATCGCAAGAGAGCATCCAATTTGAACATACATCACCACTGACAATTTCAGAGCCCACATAAGACACCTCTGCCGAGTTCCTGGTCACCATGTTGCAGTGTTGCCACTTCAAAGACCACACGCGATGTTTTCAAAGATTATTCCTGCCCATAGAGAATGCCTTCCTTTTGGCTTCACTCCAGCAACAAGAGCAGCGTCACCCCCGTGGTGCCTACAACAACCACAGGTGTTCCTCACTATTCCGGGTATAACGAACAAGAGCCATAATTCAACAGTGGTCCTACAACAGGTGACATTGTCGCTATTCAACGAAAAATACGGCCAGAGGACCCACATTTACACCGATGGATCGGTCTCGGCTGACAGCTCCATAGGTGCTGTTGTCATCCCGGCGTACCAGGTCACTATAAAGCTCTAACTGTCGCATAGGACAACATCCACAGCAGCGGAGCTTGCCGCTGTACGTGCTGCTATACTTTATATCACGGAAGCCCGACCTCAAAAATGGGCTGTGTTCTGCGACTCCAAGGCATCCCTTCAGAGCTTGCAGTCAGCTTTACGACAGAAGGAGCATCAACAACTAGTGAATGAAATAAGAGAAGTGATTCACGAAGTTTTATCGAAAGGACATGACTTGGTGTTCCAGTGGTTACCGGGACATTGTGGTATTGTCGGTAATGACCTTGCTGATAATGCTGCCCGATCCGCCCACGCGGACGCCCAGACAACCCCAATTCCATTGTCGAGAACCGACGCTGCAAGGGGCCTTCACTCGTTCGCTAACACCATGACGGAAAATTTGGCTGAGTGACCCCAGTGTGAGGAACCGCCGCCTACACAAATTGGACCCATCGAGAAAGCTTAAAGTTCTATCGGACCTCTCCCGCCAGGATGCAACTTTACTGTGCCGCCTGTGGTTAGGAGTAGCTTTTACAAAGGCGTACTCCTTTCGCATAGGAATGGCGGATAGCTCCCGATGTGAATTGTGCGACACTGACGAGACAATAGTACATCTACTGTGTTCATGTGAACGTTTTGTGAGCGAACGCAACTTGCTACGCGAAACGTTAGAGACACTAGACAGTAGACCTTTTTCCGAAGAGAAGATACTTGGCTCACGGCTCTACGCGTCGCTGGCCAGCAAAGCGACGCGGGCATTGCTAAGTTTTCTAAAGACGACCGGACTACGCGACCGCTTATAAGCGTGCAATGGACAAGGTCACATCTACACACACGTTGCCCTTCACTTCTCTCTCTCTTCTCCTTTAATCCCCTCACCCCTTCCCCCAGTGCAGGGTAGCAAACCGGACGTGCGTCTGGTTGACCTCCCGGCCTTTCATTTCTTCCCTTCCTCCTCCTCCTCCTGATGACATGTGAAAGCCTTCTACGCAGTGCTTGGCTGCAATTTCAAAACCAATATCTTTATCATCAGGAAGTGTCAGATGCATATTGTAGATATTAAAGGATATTTAAACTCCCAGCAAAGTGCTAAAGCCTTCAACACAGCACTGATCTGCAATCATTATCCAGCTTAGAAGTCATTTGTAGTGCTCTCTAACACTTTCAAATAAACTTATCAAACACTGGAATGATCTACTTGGTTTGGTTCGTGATACTGATGTGTCTGACTTTTTGTAGGCACTTGCTCTATTTTTCTCATTTTTCTATTTCTCTCGTTTTTTACCGGGCTCCTCTTAGGAGTGATATTTGTTTATTGAAACAGTAGTATCACTTTTATTGTGATACTACTGTTTCAAAGCTTTCATTTTGTATTCATGTTCATCACTCCTGCAGTAGCCATGCATTGGGCTGCACTATTTGAAAATAAATATATCATCCCAAATTGTACCACGCAGTGCTCGGTTCCCATCTCCTGACTGATATCTGTTGCATCATGAAGTGTCTGGTGTGGTTTATTGCAATGGAGAACATTTTAGCTGCAGACAACGTTCAAACGCCTTCCGCACAGGGTTCAGTTGCAATCTTATGACCGATATCGGTGACCTCATCAAGTGTTGTGTGCGATTTGTGTTTATAGAGAATACTTTGACTACAGATAACGTTCAGAAGTCTTCCATACACGATTAAGTTGCAGTCTTTTGAGCAATATCTCTCATATCATGTATGTCAAGGTTAGTTGCGTTAGAGCATATTTTGACTACAGACAATGCCCAAAAGCATTCTACGCAGTGCTTGGTTCCTATCTTATGTCAATTTCTGTTGAGTCATTGGGAGCCAGGTGTGCTTTCTTACATTGGAGGAAATTTCTAATACAGACATCATCAAAAGCTTTCCATACAGGGTTCTGTTGTAATCTTATGATCGATATCTGTGACATCACGAAGGGTCGGGTGTGGTCTGCCACTTTAGAGACTATTTCGACCACTGACAATCAAGAGCCATTCCATACAGGGTTCAGTCGCAATTTTATGATCGATAGCGGTGACTTCATACAGTGTTGTGTGCGATTTGTTTTTTTTAGAGAATATTTTGACTACAGAGAACGTCCAGAAGTCTTTTAGACAGGATTCAGTTGCATTCTTTTGAGCTATATCTGTCACATGATGAAAGGTCAGGCAGAGTTAGTTGTGTTAGAGCATGTTTCGACTATATCTGTCACATGAGGAAAGGTCAGGCACAGTTAGTTGTGTTAAAGCATGTTTCGACTACAGACTATGACCAACAGCATTCTACGCAGTGCTTGGTTCCTATCTTATGACCAATATCTCTTTAATTATCAGGATCCAGGCGTGCTTTCTTGCATTAGAGGATATTTCTAATACACGCATAATCAAAAGCCTTCCAAACAGAGTTTAGTTGCAGTCTTATGAACAATATTTGTGACATCAAGAAGTATCGGTTGCGGTTTCTCGCTCTAGAGAATATTTTGACTACAGACAACGTCCAGAAGTCTTCCATACAGGATTCATTTAGTACAGTATTATGACCAGTATCTGTCACATCATGAAGTTTCAGGCACTGTTAGATGGGTCAAAGCGTATGTCACCTTAAAAATATTGGAGCTATCATTCCCGCTCGTATATATATATTGAAAGCTGTCGTCCACTCTCAGTTATTGGCATGCATTCCTTCAAGCAGTTGCGCGTAATCCTCATCAGAAGACTTTACACAAGCACACATTTACCATTTACATAACAACTATCGCATAGCCATTAAGTCGTCCCCATATTTACGCCTACTGACGTACACCGTGCGTTTTCCACCGACGCTTACACACGCTATTTCTTGCTGACTCACGTCCTCACATACGAGCACGAGTGGATGCGCTCGTAATAAAGCATGTCAACCTGACATATGCCTCTCTGGACGACCACCTCTCTGGACTATTGCACAAAAGTACAAAACCAGATACCGCGGCCTAAGCTTGTCTACTTTTGGAGGCACACTCATGTTAACTACAGCACAGAGAAGGTTATGACGGCACGTAGGGCACCTTAAGAAAAGAGTGTCGCGTTATAGTCACTGGTGCTATATCATTAGTGATACAGTCACTGTAACCCTGCGCAGGTACATTTGTGAAGGAATGCGCAATCCGGCTGTTCACCTTCCTGCCCGGGCGCACGATAAGCCGCAGACAAGTGAACGACCGTATGTGCCTTACCTGGGGTGGTCTCTTGGGAAGAATTCATCGAGCCATCAAGGTATGAAGGGCCTGCCTCGTCCAAACGCAACTTAGAGACATTCAGGTGTTGGAAGCGGCAGTCACTGGCGGATACAGAACGAATGGACATGGTTTACAGTTTGGGTCAAATGCTATAGCTCTTTGTGTCATTCCATGGTAGCAGTCAGGCTGATGTTGTGTGTTGTGAATATCAATGTTTGTCAACTTTGAAGAGGGAATAAATGTAACGTAATCTGAGTAGCTTACTTATACACTTAGTAAACAAAATAGGGAGTCCAAATATTGGTAAGCCCGTTGTTCTAGCAAGAAATAAAAGAACAATTACACATGACATCAGCACGACACAATAGCATTCTGTAAACATTATTACAGACATGTAGTCGTTGATTTGCACCACATACAAACAAAGTTCGGCCGCGTACCTGCGTGCTTCGCTGCAAATGTCGCCGAAAGACCTTCTGCCAGGCCAAGAGGCCGTTTATGCTTTGCCTTGGCTGAGACAGCACGTCCTTCTCTATGCTGAACCACCCGCATCTGGTTGACATTGACAATGCAGAGAAAACGCTGAGTGAGATATGGACGCCATCCACCAGTGGTGTCGAAGAAACATGAGGATGTGCAGAACCCAGGCCTATTGCCACGTAGCAGCACCGTATTCGTCCGCGGAAGGCTTTTTGTCTAAAGCGTCCCCAAAGCGCAGCCTAAGAAACACCTAGCGAATTCGTTATTACGTATCTATGTACTTTAGTTTTAAAAAACATCTACTACTACACCTATTTATGTAGCGCCTCAGTTATAGTTAATATTAAATTTTTGAACGACAATGTAGTTGATATTGGCTTTATCATCGATAATGTTTAGAAGTATGAATGCAACCTCCAGTTCAAAATGGCTGGGCGTTCAGGTAGTGCTCAAACATAGGCCAGGTATCTGAGCACCTGTATGTTATGAACACCTGTCTGTATGTTACATCAGCTGTCATGTAACATACAGACAGACAAACGGACGGATCAATATTTCAGTGTTCAAGCATCCCGAGAAAGACTCGTCTTAAAGGTGCACTGACACAAAATTTCGTGGCCGATATAGCCTGCAGGGTCGATTCTTGGGAACATTGGTATATCTTCTGCAAAATATCAACAGTGAATATAGCTTGGAAGGTATATTAAATCAATTTTGAAGTCTGCGTGAGCCTTCGACTCCATCGTTCCATTGATATTTTCGAATGAGACCCTTTGAGGACCCCCATACTTCCCTCGCTTCACCACGCTGCAGTCAATGAAACATGTTACGATTACGTCATAGCCGCTATTTCACAGAGAACGTTGTTATGAGATCAAAACTCGGGTCAAGCCTGGTGCCGTATGTCCGCCGCTGCCGGTTTCCGTAACCACTATCGCAGACATAAAAAGGACATTGTACCAAGAAAATAGTGAGGCTTGAACCCGGGTCCGTAATATAAAATCCCAGTATTCTACCACTGAGCCGAAGTGGCTTTTTTTTTTCTTTAATGCTTGGGAAACTTTAATGCTTCGCAAACTCGCCTTAGGCAGGCTCGATGTCGGAAAAGGAACCACCCTAATATGAGTAATAAAGCGTTTTAGAACAGCAAAAAATAAAGAACAACCAGGCGTCACAAAAAGCGAATAGCGTAACGAGTGGGTCGTCTAATGGTCCAACCCACTACAAAAGCTTGTTCTTGTTCTTCTATTAGCTTTGGCGCATACCCGTTTCAGGCATATATCCTCATCGATGTCAGCCATTGCACGAACAATTGGCACAAAATTCGTTGCGAGTGTTTAGCGGATACCACGCTTCCCAGAAGAATGGCGAATACTAGCACAGTGAATGTTGGCCTACTACGCAGAAAATATTATTAATAATGCCGTAGTAGATACCCAGCAAGTGTGCTAGCAGCAGTTACTCATTGAGTGTTTAGGAAAGGCTCTGAAATGCCGCTTCTCTATCTTTCGCTGTGACTGTGCTGCGCCTTCCGCGCAGGCCTGGCGTTTTTACCCCTTGCCCACGTTTGTACCTGCAGTCTATACTTCTCAGCGGCTGGTTGCCGTGGCACACTCTTTCAAAGTTTCGTGTTTGGCGACAATTCAGTGCCGTTTCCGATTCCATAGTAATTACTGATGTGTACCATGTGAAAGTGTGTCACAGTTTGGTGCCGACGTAGTCAAGAGTTGCACACGTTAGGTGGCGATAGTTGTACCCGGTTTTCGGAGCTCTCTAAAACGAAACATGAAACTGGTCAATGATAAAGAGCTTGTAAGTAATTGTATGTCACGTGCCGTATCCAACGATGTGCCGTGTTGCGACTAACAGGCCCCCAGTCACACATCGCAGCAGGAAAACGCGAGGCCAAAGTTTCTCTGTCAGTACTCCTTTAAAAAAGTTTGCCCCATGTCTGCATGCTTTGCTCAAATCTCTACGAAAGACTATGGTCTTGCGTTTGGAGAGAATGAACAGAACGTTTGTTTGATGTTCTGTGCGATAAAATTGGTGAATCGTATTCTGGAGGTGCTGCGTTACATTGATAGAGTTTGTTATAGTGCATCGATCTATGCAGCGGAGTGGTGAATGCGTACGAACAGCAAGATCATCACGTGTTTCGCGGACCCGAGGAGGACTGTCACGGCCCCTCGACGGACACCTAACGCCAAAGATAAGTGTGTTACTCCGAAGAAGGCGCGAATCAAGAGGATTACAGCGATGCGACGATCATAGAGTCCGCGGGAGTGAACTAACTGTGATGGAGAAGCAGAAGACAGGCCTTTCACAATAGTCACGTAAAAGAAAGCCCGACCATCGGGGATACCCGTAATTTTCAAGCTGACAGACCCTAGCGCCTCATTCTGGAAAGTCAATCCGAACAAACTGGCCAATGAAGTAGTATCTGCTACTAAAGAGAAAAGGCAGTGGTTTCGTGTCAACAAAGATGACAACTTCTCCGTAAGTGTCTCTAGAGTTACTGCATCCTCCAGACTTCTAGAGTTAACACATGTTGCTGGTCTTGAAGTGGCATCGTATATACCGCAGTCGTATGTGAGGAACCTAGGAAAGATTAGACAAGTACCAGTGCAATACAGTGAATATCAACTGCTTGAATATTTGAGAGACAGCAGGTGTAATCTCAGTCAGGAGACAGACTAAATGGCTCCCTCGTGAAGATGCTTCAGCAGAGCCACATTCACTCGGCAGTATAATTCTGGAGTTCTCCCCCGACAAGCCACTGCCACCTCGTATTCTCCTAGGCTTCACAAGTCATCTGGTGGAAGAGTACCTACAGCCTGCTACACGATGTTCCAACTGTCAACGATACGAACATTTTGCCAAATCGTGCCATGGACAACTTCGCTGCAAAATCTGTGCAGGAGCACATGATTACCAAGAATGTACATCGAGAAATCATCCCAAATGTGCGAATTGCAATGGAGACCACGTAGCGTCATATGTTGGTTGTCCGAAACACCAGGCAGCTACTCGACTAAAGCGACAAGAAATTTTGCTTGGAAGAGCTCTAGAAAGGGATAGCCTTGTCCGAATCCTGAAACTGTACAACCACTCCCTGTGACTTCAAAATCACAAAAGAGTACATCACCACTGTGGTATGCGACGGATAGCCAGCGTTCTTCAGCTCAGAAAAACAAAAGTACAGCCGAAACGGACTTTAGAGGACGATCACCAAGCGTTCAAAGGCAGCAAGCGACAGCAGGACATCGAAACCGTCAGCAACTCAGGATAACCAAGCGTCTACACCTTTCACCTCAGCAAAGCCAAAGGCACAACAGCAACATGCACCCAAAACAAGTGATGTGGATATGGTTATGTCGATGCTCTTCCTTGCTTTGAAGGCAATCCTGCGTGTATTTCTACAGGCCAATGACCTTCCAGAGGTGAGCGCAGTCCTTTCATTAGAGCCTCTAGAAGTACAACAAAAAATTGTTGTGTAGCAAAATGGCTCTACAAATGAACAACTGTTTCCGCAACACAGCTGTGTTTCAGTGGAATGCCAATGGCCTTAGGTTCAAAAGCGCGGACTTTGGGAAGCTGGTTGCTCAGTATAGCTCCCCCGTTCTGTGTCTAAATGAAACCAACGTTAGTCCTGACTTTCGGATTTCTAATTATGTCACATACGCAACAAGAAAAAATCCTGGCTTGAGCAGGGCACTGTTATGCATACGGTGCGACATACCCTCTTTCGTTTTATACTCGTCAGACTCGGACGTGCCAGAAGTTGTAGGTTGCAAAATTTAATTACAGAAACTTATCATCACCGTAATTTGCGTTTATTTGCAACCATCAACACGCATCTCCAAATCATCTCTGGTTCATTTATTGGGTAAAGCCCAGGGACCTGCCCTCATCTGTGGAGATTTTAAATCGGACAGTACCACGTGGGGCAGTACTCATACCGATTGACGTAGGAGAACACTTGAAAAAGCAATTTATCGATGTGGTCTTGTACTGAATCATGGATCAGTAACGTTTTAAAAGGTGATAACTATGCAAGCTGTCTAGATTTGGCTATAGCCTCCTCTGACAGTGCACGAGATATGAAGTGGTGCACAGACCTCAAAACACGAGGGAGCGACCATGACCCAGTTCTTATGCAACACCCAATAATGCAAGTGCAAACGACCACATCGATTTCAAAGCTAAGCTGACTGGAAACTATTTCGTGAACAGACTGGACGTGACTTGATGGGAGTTAATGCACTGGATGCATTTATGTCCTGCATTAAAAGCAGTTACTCCCGTGCGACAAGGTTTACAGCTGTCCCAGCAGGCCGCTCCATTGTAGATGCAGACTATGAGCGCCTACTAGCAATTCGAAGACGAGCAGAGCGTCGCTGTTGCCGCACTGGGAGGCTTGAAGATTATAAGAAGAGTCAGGCCACACATGAAAATGTTAGGTCGGAAAAAATGGCAAGATTTTTGCCATTCATTGACCCCATTTACTCTACTTCCGAAAATCTGGCAAATAATCACTGCTCTAAATCATCGAGTATC